GACTCACCTGTACTTCTTATTTCTGTTTCTCAGTCATGTGACCGTCTCTGTGTCTTAACAGGTAAACATGAGTTCAGCCATGGCCATCGAGAGGATGTGTTACGCTCAGGTGAGACTGCACAACTTTAAAGTTCCTATAAATCAAAATCAGAAAGTGGTGTCTAAACACAGTAAATATGTGGGGAAAAAGTTTCTGAATGGTCCGGTTGACACACTGGGGATCATTAGCATAACCCAGCCCCCTACAGCAAAACAAAGCTGCGTATGTTTAGTAACTGATGATCTCCATCTCAATGTCCCTAAGACAAAATAATTCATAATTAGTCCCCTTCTCATTAATACCCAAACAACGGAAATAGTGACAGATTCAAATACCTTGGAGTGACACTAGACAACCACCTCAGTTTCTAACAGCCCACTAGTGACAATCCAAAAAATCAAAAGACGTCAGCCATCCGCAAACTCAAAGGACTTTATGTTGCCCCCCATCTCCTCCTGCTGCTATATCAGAGCATGATCCAGCCTATCCCATTGATTGTTACACCTGCTTCTTCAACATGATATGTTAAAAACAAGGCCAAACTCACACGCATCACAACCACAGCTGCCAGAATATTTGGTCTCCCCACACCCAACCTAACAGAACTCAACAACAGAGCCATCACAAGCATTGTAACCTCAATAGAACAGGACATCACACACCCACTGAACACCCACCCCACTTCCCTCAGACGGAGGTAAAGAGCACTGAAGCCTGATCCCTGCGGTTATAGCTGCCCTAAACAAAAGGACCCGCTAAACAGGCCAGAGTGGGAACTCTTGATTGTTGTTGAACTCTGTTTGTGTTATACACTGTGTTCTGTGTATGCACTGTTCTTTGGTGGGAATTGTCTGATGGACAGAAACAGGGCTGGGAATTTCCCAATGGGGACAATAAAGTCATCCTCTGTAAGTCAAAATGTGACAAATTTTAATCACACGCTTATCTTTACCATGAGTGTGCGTACTTTCAGCACATTCTTCAGATAAGCCCACAGCATCCCAGAGCCTAGATTACTGCCAAATTTGTCATGATTTTAAAACTTCCATTTTTTTCATGACTGAGATCATTCTTCTGTTTTATAACAAACAAAAATACTTTTTTATTTTGTTGCTTTACACGTCCTAGGTGATCCCAACACGGGACAGACAGGAGGGCATGGCTGCTTTCATAGAGAAGAGACCCCCACGATACACTGGAGAGTGAACACACAAACACACACACACACACACACGCACAGAGCTCACATTAATGTGAGCACATGTTGAAGGTCAGAGTGTTGAGGAGGAAGTGTTATTGATCGAAGAGCTGTAACGCCATTTTTGAACTGATTCTGATTGTTTATTTTCACATGAATTTGATGTTTGTAATAAAAGTTCACTGACACACGTTGTCTCCACTTTATCAGAATGTACATTCTTTATTTCAGGACTTTAATCACACTCAGCATATGACACACACACACACAGCCTGAATTAACTGGTCTTCATTATCATTATCATCACCACCACCACCATCATAAGGGGGGCTCCTCTACATGATCCATCCTATGACACCATCTGAGCTGTTTACCTGTGATGACATCAGAGCTGCTGATCATCTCTGATATCATCTTCATCCACTCACAGACATGTTACCTGTCTCACCTGTTCTTCCTGCTGTCACCATGCCAGAGTGTTACACTTTGATATGACTCTAACACAGTAACAAACGAAAGCTTAAGTTTTAATTATCAAAAATTGCTAATCTTAATCCCACACGTTTGCAAAGATTCCCTTCTGAAATTTTTGCAACTGTTTTGTGCAATTTAGACAGTGCAGGTGTTTTCTTGCAGTTTTTGATGGATTAATTCCTCTCCTACACATCTGTTTTATTCATAGATGTAGTTTTCTGATACTAGATCATATAACAGATTATATCATTTTAAAACAGGTGGTATCAAAAGTATCGAAGTATGAAACATTTCGACAACCTGTACCGTCATACAGAATAAAGGGATGTAGTAAGCAAAGACTAGCTTACTACGCTATACCTGATATTTCAATTAAGAATGTATCGGGTGTTTCTGATACAAGTATAGCTGATCAACTACACCCTGCCCTCCTCTCTTCTTTTTTCAGAAACAATAGAGTTTTTTTTACATGCATCCTAAACAAACACATTATTCACTTTTATGTACAGATAACACATTCTTTAACATGCAGCTACCTACAAACACACACACGCGCAGTGCTGCCTGTGTAAGATATGACACAGCGGACAAACACACTATGACTCAGTAATAAAGTACATCCATAATGATGAGGACCTCAGCATCATCTCTGTCTGTATTCAGAGGATGTTTACATTTAACCATACAAGTTTTTTCCTATGACTTTGTTTCATCCTTAATGACAGCGTCTCCTCACAACAAGCTGTGTGTGTGTGTGTCAGCAGCTCTGCGAGTTAAAGCGTAGTCTAGTTTGAACATATTTTCTTATTCAGGACAGAGTTTACGCTCTACGAACATTTGAGGTGTTTCACCATCTGAGATAGTTCTAGCGCAGGCAGAAAGTTGCACCTTAAATCTTACAACTAGCTCTTAGGAAGTGTGATGTCCTCCATAAAGTCCGGTTGTCATGGTGATGGTTTAGTAAAGGTGAACTTGGAGGAGTAGCAGACACTTTTACTGGCTGTTTGGTGTCAGTGTTTTTCGTTGATGGATTACATCCCTCAAATGTTTGATGACCCAGATAATGTCATCCATCCAATAAGAGGACTGCTCAATGACCTTTGTTGTAATTGAAGATTTTAACACTAGATGTCACTGTTGTCATTTGACAATTTGAAAGTCTGTAGGCTTTAGTTATCACCTCATCCTAATGCTTTGACATATGACAAACATTTGAGTTTGTGGATTATTGTCAGTCAAGTTATTTTCAGCCGTTAGTCTGTTCAGAGGCAATTATACATGAGAGGAAACACTGGAACAAACACTGCATTAAGAAACATGCTGCTAAGTTCAAACCTAATTTCTGACACAATATTTTGTGTGGACATTACGCTCTACAAGTAACAGATGAACCTTATGTCTCGGTGGTAACCAACTCAAGATACAACCTAAGTAGTTTACACGTAGGGTTCAGTGAGGACTTGACACCACTACTTATGACAACTCACACACAGCTGCTGACACAGGAAGCAGCTGAGTAAAGTGGAAGGGGCTGCACACAGTTTGATTATATCTAATCAGCTGATCCTCATCATCATTGTGCCAAAACCAACAGGTAAAAACTTGACTGACCCAAAGTTCTTCTGATCATATCAGTTCTTATCACACACACTTTTTGTTTTGTTACAACCACAGAGAAATAAATAAAGTTTGTGTGTGTGTGTGTGTGTGTGTGTGTAAAGAATCAGTCTTTCTTCTTTCAGAGATTCTTGATAAAAGTGTGTATGTGCATGATGAACACACAAGAGTCCTGCGTTCGTCCTGCTCTGACAGACAGATCTACAGCATGATGAGTCTGATGCAGCAGAGGTTCTCTCTGTGATGTCACTGGGGTGGCGGCAGGTGGCGGCTGCAGTGTGTGTGTGCGTGCTGGCCAGTGCGTGCTTGGTGGCGCTGCAGACTCTCCAGGATGCTCCCCGCCAGCAGACGGACGTCTTTGTGTGTCTGTGGGTGTGTATGAACCAGCTCCAGCTGCTGCAGACCTCCCTCTTCCAGCAACATGCTGCAGTACCTCGCGGCTATGCACACAAACGCACAGTCAAAAACACAAACACACACAAGGGAGCAATATGAAATATGTAAGGGGAAGGGGGGGAATGAGCTAACAAAGTGGAATGAATCAAAATAATAAATTAACGACTTCTGTGTGTGTGTGTGTATGTGTATTCACCATTCTTGCTGCAGACATGCTGCATGGCCCAAGCCGCCCACAGCTGAACTCCTGGGGTGTGAAAACACTCGAGCAGGGGAAAGAAAGGGTTAAAGGACCTGCACAACAACAACAACAACAACCACATGTCAGACTGAGGGTCACATGATCACTACTTTCTCTGGCATCACCGTTTATTTAGTGCAGAGGATGCTCTCACCTGTACGCCACCATCTCACAATCAGGAGGGGGCCACTTAGTGATGACAGCGTGCTGAGGAGACACACACACACACACACACACATACACACACATACAACACTAAAATATAAAATATTTTCGGTATCTTCCTTTTATGATAATCTGGTCCTTTTCTGTGACTTTTGAACATTTTTAAATATTTAATTAATTTACAAACATGTGATTCTTTGGCTTATGTTTCTGCAACAATTATCTCTTTATCTGTAAACCTGTAGCTGTAAACCTGTAGCTGTAAACGTGTAGTCTGTGAACATGTAGTCTGTGAACATGTAGTCTGTGAACATGCAGTAAGTGAACATGTAGTCTGTGAACATGTAGTCTGTGAACATGTAGTCTGTGAACATGTAGTCTGTGAACATGCAGTAAGTGAACATGTAGTCTGTGAACATGCAGTAAGTGAACATGTAGTCTGTGAACATGTAGTCTGTGAACATGTAGTCTGTGAACGTGTTGTGAGTGAACATGTAGTCTGTGAACATGTAGTCTGTGAACATGTAGTCTGTGAACGTGTTGTGAGTGAACATGTAGTCTGTGAACATGTAGTCTGTGAACATGTAGTCTGTGAACGTGTTGTGAGTGAACATGTAGTCTGTGGACATGTAGTCTGTGAACCTGTAGTCTGTGAACATGTAGTCTGTGAACATGTAGTCTGTGAACATGTAGTCTGTGAACATGTAGTCTGTGAACATGTAGTCTGTGAACATGTAGTCTGTGAACATGTAGTCTGTGAACATGCAGTAAGTGAACATGCAGTAAGTGAACATGTAGTCTGTGAACATGCAGTAAGTGAACATGTAGTAAGTGAACATGTAGTCTGTGAACATGCAGTAAGTGAACATGTAGTCTGTGAACATGCAGTAAGTGAACATGTAGTCTGTGAACATGTAGTAAGTGAACATGTAGTCTGTGAACATGTAGTCTGTGAACATGTAGTAAGTGAACATGTAGTCTGAACATGTAGTAAGTGAACATGTAGTCTGTGAACATGTAGTAAGTGAACATGTAGTCTGTGAACATGTAGTAAGTGAACATGTAGTCTGAACATGCAGTAAGTGAACATGTAGTCTGTGAACATGTAGTCTGTGAACATGTAGTCTGTGAACATGCAGTAAGTGAACATGTAGTCTGTGAACATGTAGTCTGTGAACATGTAGTCTGTGAACATGTAGGCTGTGAACATGCAGTAAGTGAACATGTAGTCTGTGAACATGTAGTCTGTGAACATGTAGTCTGTGAACATGTAGTCTGTGAACATGTAGTCTGTGAACATGTAGTCTGTGAACCTGTAGTCTGTGAACATGTAGTAAGTGAACATGTAGTCTGTGAACATGTAGTCTGTGAACATGTAGTCTGTGAACATGTAGTCTGTGAACATGTAGTCTGTGAACATGTAGTCTGTGAACCTGTAGTCTGTGAACATGTAGTAAGTGAACATGTAGTCTGTGAACATGTAGTCTGTGAACATGCAGTAAGTGAACATGTAGTAAGTGAACATGTAGTCTGTGAACATGTAGTCTGTGAACATGTAGTCTGTGAACCTGTAGTCTGTGAACATGTAGTCTGTGAACATGTAGTCTGTGAACATGTAGTCTGTGAACATGCAGTAAGTGAACATGTAGTCTGTGAACATGTAGTCTGTGAACATGCAGTAAGTGAACATGTAGTCTGTGAACATGCAGTAAGTGAACATGTAGTCTGTGAACATGTAGTCTGTGAACATGTAGTCTGTGAACATGTAGTCTGTGAACATGTAGTCTGAACATGCAGTAAGTGAACATGTAGTCTGTGAACATGTAGTAAGTCAACATGTAGTCTGTGAACATGCAGTAAGTGAACATGTAGTCTGTGAACATGTAGTCTGTGAACATGCAGTCTGTGAACATGTAGTCTGTGAACATGTAGTCTGTGAACATGTAGTCTGTGAACATGTAGTCTGTGAACATGTAGTCTGTGAACATGTAGTCTGTGAACATGTAGTCTGTGAACATGTAGTAAGTGAACATGTAGTCTGTGAACATGTAGTCTGTGAACATGTAGTAAGTGAACATGTAGTCTGAACATGCAGTAAGTGAACATGTAGTCTGTGAACATGTAGTCTGTGAACATGTAGTAAGTGAACATGTAGTCTGTGAACATGCAGTAAGTGAACATGTAGTCTGAACATGTAGTAAGTGAACATGTAGTCTGTGAACATGTAGTCTGTGAACATGCAGTCTGTGAACATGTAGTCTGTGAACATGTAGTCTGTGAACATGTAGTCTGTGAACATGTAGTCTGTGAACATGCAGTAAGTGAACATGTAGTCTGTGAACATGTAGTCTGTGAACATGTAGTCTGTGAACATGTAGTCTGTGAACATGTAGTCTGTGAACATGTAGTCTGTGAACATGTAGTCTGTGAACATGCAGTAAGTGAACATGTAGTCTGTGAACATGTAGTCTGTGAACATGTAGTCTGTGAACATGTAGTCTGTGAACATGTAGTCTGTGAACATGTAGTCTGTGAACATGCAGTAAGTGAACATGTAGTCTGTGAACATGTAGTCTGTGAACATGCAGTAAGTGAACATGTAGTCTGTGAACATGTAGTCTGTGAACATGTAGTCTGTGAACATGTAGTCTGTGAACATGTAGTCTGTGAACATGTAGTCTGTGAACATGTAGTCTGTGAACATGTAGTCTGTGAACATGTAGTCTGTGAACATGTAGTCTGTGAACATGTAGTCTGTGAACATGCAGTAAGTGAACATGTAGTCTGTGAACATGTAGTCTGTGAACATGTAGTCTGTGAACATGTAGTCTGTGAACATGTAGTCTGTGAACATGTAGTCTGTGAACATGCAGTAAGTGAACATGTAGTCTGTGAACATGTAGTAAGTCAACATGTAGTCTGTGAACATGTAGTCTGTGAACATGTAGTAAGTGAACATGTAGTCTGTGAACATGTAGTCTGTGAACATGTAGTCTGTGAACATGTAGTCTGTGAACATGTAGTCTGTGAACATGTAGTAAGTCAACATGTAGTCTGTGAACATGTAGTAAGTCAACATGTAGTCTGTGAACATGTAGTAAGTCAACATGTAGTCTGTGAACATGTAGTAAGTCAACATGTAGTCTGTGAACATGTAGTAAGTCAACATGTAGTCTGTGAACATGTAGTAAGTCAACATGTAGTCTGTGAACATGTAGTAAGTCAACATGTAGTCTGTGAACATGTAGTAAGTCAACATGTAGTCTGTGAACATGTAGTAAGTCAACATGTAGTCTGTGAACATGTAGTAAGTCAACATGTAGTCTGTGAACATGTAGTAAGTCAACATGTAGTCTGTGAACATGTAGTCACTCCTACCAGCTGCTCGAGCAGAGATGCTCTTAGTTCAGGGCTCAGTGTCCAGGAGTCCTTTCCTCGAGATGTCAGGTGAGCCAGGATCCCTGCTGCAAAGTAGCTCACCTCCACCTCCTGACTGTGCAGGAGGGAGCTGATGTGATCTAAGAAACTCTGCACCATCAGCTCCACGTGCAGCTCCCCCACCTCCGCTATGTTGTTCTAAACACACACACACACAGAGTAGGAGAATCCTTTAGACACAGTGGGAATCAGTCAGATGATCTGAAATATAAGAAGAGACAAACTGACCAGCAGGCCCAGAACCTTCTGCTGGATTGAGGACTCGTTGGGGAAAGACTGCAGTGGAGAGAGAGGTGGGATGAACTTTACTGTCTGCATGCAGGATGTGTGTGATTGTGTGTGTGTGTGTGTGTGTGTACCTCTAAGACTTTGATAAATAGGTCCAGGCCCTGGTTCTCGATGAAGTGTCTGCAGGTTGTCGGCGACTCGTCAGTCAGGTTCCAGAGCGCGCTCAGAGTGAACTTTAGCGTGGCGTCCACCACGCCCTGAGTCGCCTTCTGACAAACGATTTGAAGAAGTTGCTGCAGGAGAGAGGTTTTATTCTAAATGTTTTATTTTCAAAGTTTTATTGTACATTTTTTATTCAAAATGTATTTGTAAATGTTCTATTCTGTATGTTTTCTATTGAGGAAGAGGTTAAAAAGTCGTCACCTTGACGATAAACAGCTCTGCTCCCAGCTGAGCCGTCTGCTCTGTGGACAGCTGGAGAATAAAGAGTTGAAAGAGGTTGAACAGAGGGGTCATGGCGCACAGTGTATAAACATTAAACCGATTTGTACCTTTGCAGCCAGTATGGAGATGATGGCCACGGCCATCCTCTGCATGTTCTGGTCTTCGTGGTTACAGAGCCACTGCATCACCAGTTTGGCTGCTTCAAACCTGAGACACACCACAAGAGAACACATACCTTTACCTTAAGTCATGATTTTGATCTGTAGTTTTTTTTAAAGATTTATTTTTGGGCTTTTTGTGCCTTTAATGGAGAGATAGGACAGTGGATAGAGTTGAAAATCAGGGAGAGAGAGGGGAATGACATGCGGGAAAGAAGTCACAGGTGGGATGTGAACCCGGGCCACCCGCTTGAGATGACAGCCTCCATACACGGGGCGCGCGCACTAACCACTGCCCCACCAGCGCCCCTTGATCTGTAGTTTTACATGAATCCTCCTCTGACCAGCACACAAACACTTCATTTGTTTTTGTTGGACTCTTATAACAATGGTTCGTCATGTTAAAATCATATTTAACAACATAAAAAGAAGATTTATCACCTGTTGAAGGGTACCTCCTGCAGGATACGGTCACTGCACAGAGACAGCAGACAGTTCTTCTGCAGCTGCAGATGCAAACGCACACACACTTTGAAAATGATACCAGGACATTTTCTTTAACAATATTGATACCTGTACAAACAAAAAATATAAGTCCTAGGCACTCGATATTGGGTAATTTATCGTTTTGAATGACAAAAATTGCAGACAAAATCCTGCACACTGGCTTAATAATTGCACAGAAAGGTTGACAATTTTTGTAAAAGAGGGAGGAAGTTGACGACAGTGCTCTCTCTCTTTTGGTTTCAATATGCCAGAGAATCTGAAGTTTTTTAAGCATTGTTACTTTACGATACTATGGAACATTAAAATTAGAAATTATTACATCATCTTAAAACATGTGGTATCAAAAAGTATCAAAAGGTTCTAACAACCTCACTCTCATGTTGCACACAATCTTTCCTCTCTATCATGTGTCCACACACAGGTGTGCAGGTACCTGCTGGTGGTTGGGGAACGTTCTCATGGCCTCCAGCAGCAGCTGAGTGACAGAGCTCAGCAGTCTGACCGGCATCCCTGCAGCCAGGTCCTGTTTTGTCAGATTAAACACACACGCACTCGCTGCTAGCTGCACGTTCAGCGTGGCCGGATGATTCTTCATCCCCAGCACCACCAGCTGCAGAGAGAGGAGGGCGGGGTTATGTGTTTATATTTATATTGCTGTTTATGTTTTTATTTATGATGAGACACAGGAGAGCTTCATGCTCAGCTCAGAGGAAGAGCTGTGTCTTACGTCACTGATTTAATAATGTCTTTGTTCATAAAGTGATTAAACCTTAGAACATGATGATGTCATGAGGTGTTCTCAGAGAGTGAAATGACTCCAGGAATTCTCACCTTGAGGATGTCGGCTCGTGGCGTCTCCATGACGTGCGTCATGCTGAACAGGTGAAACAGAGCTTCTCTTACGAATCCTTCTCTCTCACTGTATCGACGCAGAGCCTCACAGATCTGCGTCTCATTGGCTTCTCCTGTTACCTGTTCACACACACGCACAAAGCTCTGTTACTGCAGCTTATCTGAGCTCCTGCACAGGTATCAGATTCGAACATAACACACCTTTAGGTTTCCTTCTCCAGACAGGACATCCGAAAATCCAGCGTCTGTGGCCAAAAGACCCACAAAGCTCATCCCCGGTCTGTCCTCCACAAACGCTCTGACTGCTGCGTCCGTCACCTGCACGAGTCACACAGGTGAGAGAGGATAACATGGCTCTGTGAAACAGTCCTACAGCAACACACACACCACACACCTGTTTCCTCCCCGACACGTCCAGAGACACGAGCGCCGGCAGAATCCCCGGCTGACTGAGCAGCTGACGAGCCACGTCAGAGGTGAACTGTTTATCATCACTGATGTCCAGGTGCTGCACAAACACACATAGACACACACTTTGTGGTGATTTGAACTGAACCCGGCTCTCTATCACTGTCTACATAACTATTACAACATCAAAACTCTGTAAACAAACAAATTTAAACAACATGTCAACAAACATTTGAACAAAAATGTCAACACACAGCAGCCTCAGACTGCTCGTCCCTGTAAACAATCATGTAAACAATCATGTAAACAATCATGTAAACAATCATGCAACCAATCATTAGAAAAGATGTATACAATCATGTTAACAAACAACAGCCTCAGACAAACCTGCAGCGAGTCCAGCTGCCCGATGACACCCAGCAGCTGAGATGTGCTCATCTCCAGCCTCTTGAGCTGGTGCAGGGTGAGTGAACGCAGACGCTCCTTCAGACCAGCAGGGGGCTCAGGTTGGTGACTGATGTGTTGGACAGGTCTAGACTCTCCAGACGAGCAGAGAACACACGTCCACCAGTCCCGAGTCGTAGAAGTCCACGTTAGCCAGAGAGAGCGAGCGTAGGCCATGCAGGGAGCTGAACCGGTGCCTGATCGGCTCCTCCAGAGATGACATGGTGAGGCCTGTGAGGACAAGTCTCTGCAGGGACTCCTGCAGCACGATGGAGAACAGCAGGATCAAATAAAAAGGACAGAGAGGAGATATTTACAGGCTCCTGACCAGGGCTGTCACCATAGCAGAATTTTGAACGTCCATATGATTCTTTTAAAAATCATAAAACTCTATATTGGGTAATTCCTTGTTTTAATAATCAAAACTTACAATCTCCTGCACACTGTCTAAATTGTAAAAACATTGGCAACATTTCAGTGCAGAAAAGGTGCAAATGTTTTTGTGCAAAAAAACAGTGTGCCAGAGTTTGTCTGCATTTTTTGATTGATTAATTCCTCTGCTACACACCTGACTTTTTTTTTGGACTATCAATCATTACAATGGCAGATATTGTATCTTTTTAAAAGATGTGGTGTCTGAAAAAGTCTCTAAGTATCAGTGATGTTGACGACCATCTCCCAACGGTCTGAGTATACCTGGCAGTACTTGTTGGTAGCCAGGCCCTGCAGGATGTCAGGGATGGTGAGGTCTGCGTTGACTCGGCAGCGTCCAACTCCAGCAGCCGGTGAGAACACAGAGCTTTCTGGAAGGCCTCAGCAGAGATACGAGCCGTCCGCACCACGCTCGTCTCAGACGCAGGTACTCACAGGTACGAAACACACCCACGGTGCTGTCATTGAGCAGACCTGAAGGGGGAGACACAATCCTGGTTATAGATGTTTTAATAGACACAAACTTTGGTGTGACTCAGACAATGAAAGCTTATACTCTCACCTGTCCTGTGCTCTGCTTATACTCTCACCTGTCCTGTGCTCTGCTTATACTCTCACCTGTCCTTTGATCTGCTTATACTCTCACCTGTCCTGTGCTCTGCTTATACTCTCACCTGTCCTGTGCTCTTGCTTATACTCTCACCACCTGCTTATACTAATTTACGCACACTATGTTTTACATTAATTATTCTGTGATGTTGGTTTTATCTTTAAGCAGCGTTTCCACCATTCTAAAGAGTTTCCTACCACTGTGTTTTTAAAATGACTTCAGACTGTTCTTGTTTCTGTGAGATTATTTGACCTGTTTGATGTCTGATCATCTTATGAAGCAGAGAAACAGCTCATATGTTCACATGTTTACATCCTTCTTTGGTTTCATTACCAGCTCAAACAGAATACTATATTAGTCAAACATAATAAAATAAGCTGTGCTGTTTTTCTTGAACAGGGAGTCACATCCAGATGATATTAAACATTGTATTAACAGGAGTCTCATTAGTGGGTTAGGGTAGTGTTGTTACTATGAATGCATGACGATCTCTGGGACACCTGAAAACTAAAACGGACCGTCCAACGTCACAGTTACTGAGGGATTGTGTAAATATAAGCACAGCTGTGACCATGCTTAACACACAGAATGTAGTTGTAGAACATTGAAACTAAAAATAGAAACCATCATGAGTGTCCAGCACGCATTAACCTAAATCAACATATATGCCTGTTTCGAGTTTTCTTAAATTAAAAACACTCAGTCAGTTATTTTGTCTAGTTTAAAACAGACATGAATGCCTAATTGGTGTCAAACCTTAAAAAGTCAGCTGTGACAGGCATCTGAAATGCGCTCTGCAGGGAGTGTGTTTCAATAGAGCATGCTGATCTGATTGGTCCTTTTTCTGTTGGGAGAGGGTCACAGCTCGATTAATCCTAGAGAGATTTGTGTTTTTCCGAATGATGCTGAAAATTGCGTGGTATTAGTTTATCCTGAAGTATCTCCTTCTCTGACCGACAGAATTTACAGCACTAGTCACTTTCCCATGCAGCAGGCTTTGTTTGTTACTAACTCCATCACTATGAGAACTAATAATGTATTTGGCTCACTTAGTGTGAAAGTTACTTACATTTTTTTAATATAAACTCTACTTT